TAGCCTCATCGACAAGGTCTTGCAGATGGCCTTGCCTCACTAGGTCTTCCAAGTGTGTTTTCAGGGCTCTGCAATCCTGAGTCATATGCCCATTTTCATTGTGGTAAGCATAATGCTTATCAAGGTTTCTTCCCATAAATTCTCCTGGTGCCCTCGCTGGGGCTCTGAAATAGGGTTGGTTCCGAATTTTATCCAGGACATCGTGAATTGAGATTCGGAACACAGTCGTAACTGCCTGTGTAGCCCTTAGTCCTATCTCTTGCTTGCTGGATCTGTTGTTACCTCGGCCTCGCTTTAGCGAGCCGTTTCTTTTCTCTTGCTTCGTCTCCTTAGCTCTTGATGTATCTTCCTCGGCTCTGGCATATTTCTCAATTCTGGCCATGAGCTCTTCCATTCTTTTTGGCAATGTCTTTGCCAAAGATTTTCATAGTGGACAATTGTCTTTCAGGCCGTTCTTAAAAGACACGACCGCCACCTCCTAGTTGCACTTGGGTATTCGGTTGAACACCTCATAGTACCTTTTTACGTAGGCCCTAAGGCCTTCATCCTTACTGATTCTCAGGGCCATTAATGCGTCCACCCTTAATGGCTGTAACTTGTTTGTCACGAACCTAGCCACGAACATCTCGGCCCGGCTTTCCTAGGTCTTCACACTTTCCTTCGGCAGTTTGTGGAACCAATCAGATGCAATCTCTCCAAAAGACGAGGGGAACACTTTGCAGAGCAACGGCTCGTTCCCACTATATAATGCCATCGAATTTAGGTACAATCCAACGTGAAAGTTGGGGTCTGACTTACCGTCGTATATTTGAATCCTCGGCATATTGAATCTCTTTGAAGCCTCAAATTTGTCTAGCTTCACTGAGAATGGTGTTCTCGACTTATCAGGGGAGGTTACTTCGGCATTGGCGTTTTGTTGCTTCCTCTTGAGGTAATCTCTCAAGTCTTCTTTGGTCCGACTGGGAGCTCGGCTATCTCCTGACTTCAGTCATTTAGGTGCACTGCTCTCAACTTCGTTGTGAGCCCTATTTGACCTTTCTCCATAAGTTGTGTCGAAGCATAGCGCCTGCTCTTGAACATGCCAATGTTCTTTGGGGTCTGCCTCATTGGTGCAGTGCATTCTCCGCGATTCTTCCCTCCTTGACTCTCCTCGCCCGACCTCCTTTGAAGGTCGGTGAGAGTGTCTTTCACTCCTGGTGTGTTGGGGGGCTGCAGGGACTATTTTCTGCCCTCCCTTCTGGGCATTGGCTGCTGGAATCGGCGTGTCCTGCAGCGAGAATGGTGGCTGCATGACGTTGTTTTGCATCATAAAATTGACGACCGATTGCAGGCCTGCCAATTTATTTGCCATCTCTTTTACCTCTTCGTCCCTCCGCAGGCATCTATCCTTCCATACCTGGAGGTCATCCTCGTTGTAGTACCTGCTCCGATCTGGTTTCCTTGGCACGTCGCCACCCTGGCTGATGGCTTTCTTACCATGATTCTGGTTTTGAGTCTCTTCGTTGTGACCATCTCCCTCCATATTAGGATCAGTGTGCTTATCGTTCCCAGCAGGGGTTTTGTTCCTAACCTTATCCTTCTGTCCGTCGCTAGCCATCTATTGTCCTTTCTTTCCCACAGACGATGCCAAATTGTGTGGGTGAATTTCCAATCACACTGCCAACTTAGTATTCAGCTGGAGAGTACTGGCAAAATAGATGACACCTGGCTGACCTGCAACAGAAACAAAAGATTCCGGCGGTGGTTCGTCCACCCGGGGACACTCCGACGATCAAGTCAGTATATCTTTCAAAGATAATTAATTGCTAAACTCACTGTTCTGAGTATAAATTGCGTACCTTAGACCCATCGGGGGTGCCTCTCTTTTATAACTAACTCAATCCTTGTCCCAATAGAAACCTTGCTCTTATGGACTTTAGCTCAGCGCTTATCCCGGATTCTCTTATAGATAAAGATAAACTCCTAAGAGCTTTTATCCTTATCCAAGCTGAGTTCCTTTCCCATTCTAGGATTCTTGTCCCTTATCCGCTTATCTCGGATTCCGATATCTTCGGAGATAACCTCGGCCTAGCCGAGATCACCTCAGCGTCATGACCAGGACACGTGGCACCTAGGCTGACACGTCGGCGTCACCTTGGCCACGTGTTGGCACTTAGAAAATATATCCCACAACTATCATTTTTGGAGTCTTAATTGTTAAACTATGCGAGAATTCGGTGTGCCAATTATTATGAAGTACAGATATTTCAAAAAGAGAAACGTATTCGTATCAGATACTCATCGGATATCGATACTCCTTGAATACTTAGGGATACATATCGGATACTTCTTAATTAATTTTTCATTAATTATGGAGTATTGGATACTTAATTTTGAAATATCAAATACTCGAAGTCACATATTATTTCTAATACTTTATTTAGTTATTTGATAAGAAGAATATAGTGAGAGTTAAAGTAATAGAATTTATCAAATTGATGTATCCATATTGTCTTTCTCACTCTCTCATGTTCTTTTCTCTCTACTTTTGTTATTTTTTTAGTGTTGGCATGTAAGAATGATATTTAATTTACAATTACTTTTGCTTTTAATTTTGAATGTTTTATGAATATTTGAAAACTCTTAATTTAATAGGAATCCCTCTCTTTATTTATTAATTTGCTTTAGGTTTTATCTTTGTGTATATTATATTATTAAAATTATAAAAAATATTTTTTTTTACGAATGTACCCCTGTCATACTCGTATTCTTTTTTTTTTTTTTTGACATATCGCCCTATATGTATGCCTATATAGCCATATTTCATATTTGTATCTATATCCATGCTTCCTAGGCCAGTTGTGAACAAAAGAAACAAGTGTAATGAAATCAATCTATTTAAGAATTTTTTTAAGTCGTGTAATTTGAGATTTCTGATTTGTTTATTATTTAAGTGTAGCTTGAAGAACAATTTGGAAAAAATAATATAGGGTGTATTGATAATAAATTATAATCTTAAATAATTTAATAGAGTGTATTGAGAAATTAAGCGTACTTAATAATTTTTTTAGATGCAAACAAAACCCCCCTTAATTTTGTCAAGTTCTTTATATATATTATCCATACAAAAACTTAGATCAGTCCAATTATCATAGCTTATTCAATTTATTATATTTGTTTAAAAAAAAATTGTAAATGTATTTTAAAAAAAATAGACCACATATCAATTTGGTGAGAAACACGATAAATTACGATTATTAGATTGACGTACCGTTGGGCAACTAAGAAATAACATATAAATAAGATGAGTATTGTTGAAATGAAGATGCTAATGTAGATGTGTGACAAGACTAAAAAATACATAATTATGAATGAGTATATTCGTGAGTAGGTAGGAGTAATATTGATAGAAAATCAGTTGAGAGAGAATAAATTGAGATAATTTGATCATATATAACGGAGACCAACAGAGTCAGTAGTAAAGATATGTGATACAGTGACGATAGATTAAAGCATTAGAGGAAGGGGCATATCTATATTAAGGTGAGCTAGTATAATAAATAGAAATATAAATTCTCTTCATTTAACTAAAACAAAAATGTTTCGTAACTCGAATTTGTGTGGTCCGAATAGCTCGAATGTATATTTCCATTTAGAGCAAACTTCACTTTACCCCCTGTGGTTTGGGCCGGGTGCGGTTTATCCCTCTGATATTTGGAAATTACCACATAACCCCATTGTGGTTTATAGACTAAAACACACACTAACTTCTATTAACAGAAGTTGTAAATTGACAATTATATCCTCATCTTCATCTTCTTCTTCTTCTCTCTCTCCATTTTAGGGGACACCCAGTTCTCTCTCTCTCTATCTTCATCTTCATCTTCTTCTTCTTCTCTCTCTCTCTCCCTTTCAAACTTTATATGTGTACATACATATACATAGATATACATATACAATCTTGTTACTCGGGAAGGCAACCCAAGAGGGGGTGAATTGGGTAATTAAAAAAATTGAACAGAAAGTTGATTACAATTAATCAAGAGAGTAAATGTAGCAGGCAATCAATTAATACACAAAAAATAAAGAAGAGGGAAAAAAGAGCTCAATCACAAGGATTTATAGTGGTTCAGCTCACTGGCCTACGTCCATTCCTCAAGATACTTTCTTGAGAATTTCTTCACTCTGAATCAAAACAATACATCACCATGCTTCACCTAACTTGTGGATTTTTACAAAGGATTTACTTCTATTTGTTGAGGACTTCTAAACTAAATGCCTCACTTTACAAGTGTTTCACTCAGAAAATAACGAATAAGAATCAGAGGTACAACTGTCCTCTTTTACAAATTTTCTCTCTCAAAAGATGGATATGAAAATGTAAGCACAGAGGGAATTTAAGACTCACTCAGATATGAAAGTGGAAGTATAATGAAGTATAATAAAAGCTCTTGAATGCTTTGGTGTTCTTGTGTTGAAGAGTTATGTATTTCGAACATGGATAGCTTCTTCTTCATAGTAGTGTTGTTTGGTGTAGCTGTTAAAACAGATTATAGATTATAGCTTAACAGATTATAGATTATGACTTTAATCAGAAGCTGTTAATCTGTTTGGTATAGCTGTTAGATTATAGATTTAAGTTGCTGAGTAGTGTTTGTTAAATAAGCTGTGAAGTAGCTTTTCAATTAATTTTTATTTTTTATTATTCACTATTTGTCTACATTTTTCATAAATAATAATAATAATATTTTATAGTCCATTTGGGTCTTTTTCTATTTTTAAAAAAATAAAAAATAAAAAAATCTAAGAATATAACCGTGAATTAACATGTCCATAGCAGAAGCTGATAATCAGAAGCAAGGGGTGAGCAACTTCTCAGAATCAGCTTTTTTGACTTAAAATAAGTTGTTAGAATCAGAAGCTGTTTGAAATAAGTTTAATCAAACAGTCCAAAATAACTTTTTAAAAGCCAGAAGCCATAAGCTGGCTCAAAAAAGCCCCACCAAACACCCTCAGTATTAATGGCTTCTAGCTATTGGAAAGAAGTAGAGACAAATCTTCTAACAGTTGGAGCAAATCATGGAGGATATCTCCCAGCCGTATTGATCAGAGAATTGGTGTATACAGACTGTAACCAAGTTTTTGGGAGAAGAACTTCATTAAATGCATAAGCTTTTTATTAAATGCTCAACCTCATAAGTCAACTCTTGGTAGAAGATATAATGTCAGAAAAATCTGCTCAAGGATAAAAAATGACAACTTATTTTGCACATGGATCAAAAAAAATGGTTAAGAAATGAGCTGTGTCAGTCTAGATCTGATTTGATAGCTAGATTTTTGAAACCCAGATTTAAGGGTGTCGACCTTTTGCTCTATTTTCTTCTCTGAGTTGATTTCTAGGTGTTCCTGGTGTCGACCCTTTCGTAACTGGGTGTCGACCTTTTCATTTGCTGGAAACCTGAACTTATTTGCTGAGTTTTAATGTCGACCCTTGTCAATTTTGGTGTTGACCCTTGCTACTGGATTGTGTTATGAAATTTAGTGTTGACCCTTGTTATTCTTGGTGTCGACCCTTGCTGCTGGATTGTGTTTTGAAATTTAGTATTGACCCCTGCTATCTTGGTGTTGACCCTTGCAGCTGGAACACTTAGGCATTGTGAACTTCATTCTGGTGTTGACCCTTGCTATCTTGGCGTCGATCCTTGGATTTGTTTTAAGCATAAATAGTGTTTTGCATACATGTGCTAATTTCATGTTTTAATGGGCTAAAAACCATTAGAAAACAACACTATAGAAACATATATCTTTTAGAAACATTGAAGCACAATTGAATAATATTATTTAAAAAACTTTGAATAATAAATTGAGTTTAAGATATTTTTCAATAATTAAAATCAATACGAATTTAGATTCGAATAACCTTGGTACTAAAAAATCTCATTTTTATCTTTTTCTTGATAATGTATACATACATATACATATATACATATCAAACCCAAAACAAAAATCCAAAAATCATGGTTTTTGCTCTTTGATTGCACTCCAATTCATAAACTCCATGGTTTTTGCTCTGTGTTTCGGATGATGATGTTGATGAATTCAAAATAATTTTTTGTTCCAAAAACATATGTTGATTCTAGAAATATATAACACACACACATATATATATATATATATATCTGTGCATCTATATATATATGTGTGTGTGTGTGCGCCTTTATATATATGTGTGTGTCAAAATCGTGCACCTATATATAAGTGTGTGGGTCAATCTTCACCAGATGATTTGATATATATATATATATATATATGTATATATCTTTGATTGGGAAAGATTATAAAAATAAAAATAAAAAGAAAAAAAGAGAGAGAAGATGTTAATTTCAGATTTCCATAGCAGACAAAAGTAACAATTTACATTAAAAAATGTGAGGCCATTTTATAACCAAAAGGTATATTTATATGAGCTGAATGGTTATTGTGATGTTTTCCAGTAAGTATATGAAGTGTTGATGGATATGTAGAAATGGAATAGATAGAGATATAGTAAAGAGAGAAAAGAATGATATTTTTTTATAAATTCTTTTATAAATTTGAAGTTATGTAAAGAGCATTTTCGTCTTTAAAATGAATCTACTCTTCACATAGGTGAGTGATTCTCATATTCCATTATATTAGATAGAAAAGCTAATAGTGCACTTTAGTTCATAAATCACAGGGGGATTATGTGGTGATTTTCGAATGTGGAGAGGTAAATCGCACTTGGCCCAAACTACATGGGATAAAATGAAGTTTGCCTTAAATGGAAATATAAATTTTCTTAATTTAACTAAAACAAAAATGTTTAGGGTGTGTTTGATAACGTTTACGTTTTCAGTTTATATTTACAAAAATTTTATAAACTGGTTTTTGTTTATTTTTTGTTTATTTTTAGAAAAACATAAACTACAAACGCGTTTGGTAATTGACAAAATGTTTAAAAAAAATTTAAAATATAAAAAAAGTGAGAAATAGCAAGTGGCGGCAAGTGGCGATGGTGGAAAATGATACATCTTCTAGCCACTGTCCCAG